CAAGCCAGCGCCATGTTCCTTGTACATTGGAAGGGACAATCCCCTGAAGAGGCCACATGGGAGAAATATGAAGACCTGTGGCAGTTCAAAAACCAAGTCCGGGAGTTTTTGCAGCAATGCGCCGCGGTCGTCGCATCATCAGGTGGGGGAGCGTGTGACGTCCCGCCACCAACATAGGCAAATTTCACAGCGAAGAAGGTGTAGAGGTTTCTAGAATAGGCTAGAAAACCTTAGAGATTTCAAGAGAACTTTAGAGAAGTGTAGAATTCTCTAGATGGGGGCCAAAGTGTAGATAACTTAGGGACCTCCCATGTAAATATTAATTACACTTTAGTCCTTGGAGAGTAGTATAAATAGAGGTGCCACCATTTGCAAAGGCACCAAGCAAGTTGTAGCAATCTTCCAAAGCTTAATACAAAGCCTTCTTCAAAAAGCTCTTCCTTTGTTCTTTCCAAAACTTTCCTTAAACATTCTCTTAGCCAACCAAGTCCTAAAGGCTTCCTTGAGTTTACAAGAAGCTTGAAAGATTAGTGAGTAAACCGTCAAGGGCCGCACGGATCTTTAGCCATCATTCTAAGTCCGTGACACTAAGCTCATTTGCATAAGCTTCAATTCTGTTGAAATCATCTACGAAACTTCCCTGCAATTTTTGAAGGGCCATCCTCTTGGCTCTTTTCAACTTAGAGGTACTAGAAGGGTAAGAAGCACCAAAAGAGCCCTGAAGAAATGCTGCCGGATCCCACACCGAGCGAGGCGCTAACATCTCATCCAACCACCGAGGCCAGTGACGAAGAACATGGCGAGAAGGCCATCGACGTCACCGCAGGAGAATAGTGGGTCTCAAGGGTTGAAGTGGCCAGGCAGGCCGTGGAGATATTAGGCCGGCGCATGAACGTGGCCGATGGCAAATTCAAGACTCTTGAAGACTTCACCCTTGAGGAGATCGAGAACATCCGAAAGGAGTTGGAGGGACGTCAGCGGGCTGAATTCGAGATGAAGGAGGCCATCACTTCCTTAGAGTGCCGGCTCATGGAGGCATTAAACACAATCGAAACCATGAAGGCCGAAATGAGGACACT